ATCAAATCCGCACTGTATAAAAACGTAACTAAATTATTTAAAATTAATTTGCACTTTAACTTCCGAAACAATTTTTCAAATCCCATTGCCCGTGAAAATAGATGTTCAGATCCGCCGTTTAATTAAGGCAGAGTCTCTGGCAGGGAAATAAAACCCCGAACGTCCCATTTTAATCTTTGCTGCAAATGTAGCTAAGGCAGAGCCCGGCTCTGCTCCTGCCGAGGCGGCTCTCACCTCGCCTATAGCAGAGTATGGTGGATTTTATAGTGTTTTTATCTGCATATAGTTAAATCTTCTTGCTGTTCTAACTAATCTGCTGGAGAGGGTTTCTTTAGCTCTTTCCTGTCAGTCTAACTTCCCAAGTGTAACAGATGCCGCTCTCAAGCGGTCCTTTCTGCTGCTTTTCTTTATTCAGCCTCGCATTTTTCTCCCCATGATCTGGGTTTCCATAGAGAGAGGAATAAAAGGGGGACCATGGCCACAAATCCCCTGCCCCATGCAGAATAAAAGAGCCTTATTCAATAGCCGACCCCGTCTGGACATGGGAGAAAAATAAGTACATGCAAAGCTACTGTTGCAAGAATTTGTAACTTATTTTTCATAGACCGAAACCCAATAAAGTTTTTTTTTTTTAATTAAAAAAAAGAAATTTAAAAAAGTTTTTGGGTTCGGACTGTGCTCTCGAGCCCTTTGGCTCTGGGTGCCCCCGCCCCGGAGGGACCCGCGTTTCCTCAGCAAATAACTGCCTTTAATATCTATTTTTGCTGCTAAATCTTTGGCGTGAAAAAGCTCGCACAATAGCTGGAGGCAGCCACCGTCCTGGGGCAGCGAGAAGTCGCTATGGAGAACGCCCCGCTTTGAAGTGCGGGAGCCGGGATTGTGGCGAGTCCCCCTGGCACCGGCGGCACCGGCGCTTTCTGGGGTCACCGGCTGCGTGCCTCGGCCGTGGCCGTCCCCTCGGTGGCCGCGGCGGTGTCACCACGCGTGGGGCAGGGCTGGCTGTCCCCGCTGCAGCCCCTTTGGGAGCTCCGCTCGGGATGAGTTTATTCCCCACCGGCTCCAGGGGGCTGGAGGTTGGCACCTGAACCCACCAACGCGGTTATATCGTGACAGAGCTGATTTTATTATATTTAAAAGATTTTTTTTTTTTTCTCTCCCCCCACTCCTCTCATTGTTCATCCGCGGGAGGGGAAGGAGAGAGAAGGGAAAAGAAAAAAAAAGGTCTAAAAGGGGTTCGTTTTGATTGTGTTTAATACAGCATGAAGCTCGGAGCGGTAAGCTGTGCCTCGGTGTCGTGACCTCTATATTGAAAACTTCACCTTCAACACAAGTTCACTTTAGAGACAGGACGAGTTAGATTGCGCTTGGTGGGAACAAGTGCAAATTTAAAAACAGAGTCAATCATAACGGGGGTGGGGGCTGGGAAAGGGCAATTTAACCGTTTCTGGAGCCAGGAGTTAAGGTTTGCATTGTGTACATCCAGGCGCTGGGGCTCCTGCTGCAGCCCAGCCGCCCATCAGTGCTGAGAAAGCGGCTCCTGGAGCTCCGGAGAGGCTTTGGGAACACCTAACCAGCGTGGGGGATGCTTAGGAAGCAAAAAGGAATTTACAGAGTATTAGCAGAAATTAGCCAATACCGACACAAGCTCAATTAGTTCTTTTTTTTTTTTTTTTTTTTTTTTTTTTTTTTTTTTTTTTTTTTTTTTTTTTTTTTCGTTCTCTTTTGGCTGCTCTTGAACGTGAGTAAATGCTGTGCAGGGAGAGAGGAGGGAGAGAGCCACACAGCCATCTCCGAGCCACAGCCAGGAGATGGACTGACAGATTGCAAATTAAACTAGTCCTAATGTACGAATGAATGCGGCCCCCCCACCCCCAAATCTCTCCCAGCACCAGCCCGGCAGCAAAGAGCCCGGCACGGAGGGAGCGTGGCTGCGGCTGGGCTGGTCCAGGGAGGGACAATAAAGCCAATCCCGGGCAGGAAAAATCACAAGGTAAATAGTATTTGTATTCTAACTGCTGCGATTTCCGAAGCGGTTTAGGCGACTCTTTGCTCCTCTGCTCGAATCGCCTGTTATTGTTGTTATTATTATTATTATTATCATTAATATCTCTTTTTCCACGTTGTTGATGTTTGAAAAATGTACTCGCTGCGGGAAAAAAAAAAAAAAAAGTCGTTCATTCTTGCACTACCCCGTCATGTTCAGGTCACTGTTATTTTTGAGCTGGGTCGGTTTTAGGAGGTCTCGTCTCGAACATTTGGTTGACGGATCAAAAAAAAAAAAAAACCGTAAATATTGCGGGAAGTCTCTCCAAAGCTCACATTTTCTCCGCGGGAGCGGTGTCGCCGTCTGTGAAATGCACGAATTGGGGTTTGTAGCGCTGAGCGGAGAAGCGCGGACGGGGAGAGGCGGCGGGGACGGGGCTGCGGCCCCGCCGCCTCCGCTCGCGGGCGGTGCGCGGCAGCTCCCGAGGTCACGGCAGGAGTTAACAGACCCCACAACAATCCCCATCCCTTCCCTTTTACGTAGGCACTTTCCTCACCGTGCCATTCAAACGGGCGTGATGACAAGAACGCGCTGGTTTCATCCCGGACCGAAATCCCGTGGTTTTTAGGTCGTTGGTTGTGTTTTGTTGCTGTTTTTTTTTTTTTTTTTTTTTTTTTTTTTTTTTTTTTTTTTTTTTTTTTTTTTTTTTTCCGCTGAAGCTTCTCCCAGCAAACGGGGGGATGCGGTCAGACATGGGCACCCCCAGCTCCTGCCATCTCAGAGGCCGTCCCGCCTTGTGCTTTAGAAATAATCCAAATACAATTCCCGAACGGACAGATTTCTGCTCAGACATGTTTAAAGGAGAATGGGTTGGATTTGAGCACGCACTAACTGGCTGGCTAGTTAACCTCTGTTGACTAATGAGACATTGAAGACAAATCGCTCTGTTCCTCGGATGACAAATACCTGCGTTGCTGTTTGGTAGCTTACCGAGCAATTTCCATGTGGGGTTTGAGTTCATGTGTTGTGTTTTCCCTTTCATTTATTTATTTATTATTTATTTAACTATACGCTTTTCCAGCTGTAGCTGTCGGCGTGCAAAGCATCCAGCGATGCTCCTGATCTCGCAGAGGGATTGAAACGCCTCCTGCATTTTGAAGCGCCTCGTCATCCCTAGATTTACGTTTATAAATACGTAGATGCTGCTGCTAATTCTTGGTTTTCTCACAGACTTTCGCGTGTTTACGGCTCGCTGGAAAGTTTCCTCCCCGCTCCCTTCTGATCGCGCCAACCAAAGCTGTTATATAAATGAACTTTCAGGCCAGGCTGCGTTGCTAAAAGATGTTTCCTTCGTGAATCGAGCTTGGGCAGCGCAGGATGGTGATGCTGGGGCAGGCTGGGTGTCGTTCGCTCACGCGTGGCCTTCCGTGGGCCCCCCCAAAAAAAGCCCCAGCAGCCCCTGCCAAAGCCCCTTGCGCTCCATCTCCAGCGTGTGCGGTTCCCTGGCACCTCCTGGCAGCTTTTTTCTCTCCCCCCCGCCCAGCAGACTGCCGGGGAAAGGCTCTGGAGGCTGCAGCATCCCTTCCCCTCCGTGCCCTGCCCGTGGCGGGGTCCCGGGGCTGCGGGGGAGAAGTTCAGGGGGAGGCGGACGGGCGATAAATCACCGCGGGCCCCGGGAGCGCACACGGGAGAGTCCCCATCAAAGCGGGGGAGACAGCCCTCGGCTGCGAGGAAGAAATGGGAATAAATCAAAGTGGGGCTGCCCGGGGCAGGGGGTGCCCGGGGCCCGCCCCGCTCCGCCCGGGAGCGCCGCAGCGGAGACGGGGAAAGGCGCTCTGCAAACTTTTAATGAAATCACCGGCGGTATCGATTTTTGTGGGTTTTTTTTACTGTGCTTCAGACATTGGAAAGTGTCCCTCTGGGGATGGGGGAGGGGGCAGAAGGCAGCGGTGCAACGCGAGCTGTATTGGATATTGAGTTATTTCATATTTTAGAAAATCAACGGTGTCTCTGAGGGTTCTCCAGAGAGGAAAGGACTCCGGGGGGGGGGGTGGCTTGAGCCAACCCACAGAGCTGGGGTTCAGCCAGGCAGGTATCATTTTGCAGTCCCTTCGTGGAGCTCTAGGGGCCCGTGTCATCCCCGCGCTCCCTGATGGAGAACCCCGGGAGAGCTGGCTCTCCCCCTCGGACAGCACGTTCTTGAAGTGCCACATCCAAGTATTTCCTATTTGCCTCTTCTCCAAACTGTTTAGAAATTACTAGTAGCGGATAAGTAAATTGCAAGTAAACCTAGTGAATTAGGATGATTCTCTATCAGTTTAATTTATGTTTTATAGTTAGTTTAGCCTTCTGATTTGATTGCCTTAGTAATGTGAATTGCCTACAGCTGCTGATGATACAGCTTTAATTCTGTTTTAAAGGTCATGTAAACATGTGCCTGTAGCATAAGGAATGCAAATTCAATTCCCTTTTAATGCTTCCTCACATTCACTTCACAGCCTTCACCTAGAAAATTAGCAGGATTTAATAGGGAGCCGTGTGGCTGTTGTGATTCCATTAAAAGCCCCTCTTCCCCCCAGGCGTGGCTCTCCCGGCCCACCCCACGCCCGTGAGGCGGCCACGGAGGCTCTTCCCACGCCCGTTCGGGCGGAAATCGAGGCATTTTCCACCCCGGGACGGGCTCATCCCTTCACCTGGGAGCTTTGGCCTCAGGGAACTGTCCCAGGGCTGGAGAACCCGGCGGCACCGGGAATTACCCCTGCAAGGAGCCAGAGCATCACCCAGGTGTGCACCTATGCGTGAGGCTGTAGTACAGCCGCGTGGTTCCTACGTCACGGTGCAAGACGCTGCTGGGAAAGAGAAAAACGGATAAAAATCCTTGTTTTGGGCCGAGCTGGGCTCTCCTCAGCAGGAGGAGAAGCTGCGCCGCGATGCCAAGGTGATAGGTGTAAACGCGAGACGCCTGCGCCTTGCAGACGGGCATTTTCGAATTCATTTTTAAGCACAGCCAGCTCTGAGTTCATCAGAGATTGCTTCACCCTATTGCAGAGAAAAAGAAAAAAAGGAAAAAAAGGTAGAGCCAGAAAAAAAAAAATTATACCACTGTCTTCCCCCTGGTTCAAAGGGTTTTAGTGAAGTTGCTGGGAAGTTTCCCCTTTGAACGGGCGGGCTCTAACGAGCGGGGAAGAGCGTCAAAAAAAGCCACTCTGGAGTCGCTTTGAAAAGGGAACGATGTGTCTGTGCAAAGCGAGCCAGGGCGAGAGGCGATTCCGCGGCCCCTCCGGGCACCGGGCACCGGGCACCGGCACCGGGCACCGGCACCGGGCCAGCGGAGGGACCGGCCCCGCGCACCCCCCGGCTCCTTCGCTGGGACAGCGGCGTCGCAGGAGGCACCCAACACCCCCTTTGGGCTAACGCAGAGGACCCCCCTGAGCTCAGGAAAACACCCCATGACCAAACACTCCTCGTCCGCCCGCGGGATGCGGCAGCATCCTCCCCTCACCTTCATCGCCATCACCCCGCCTTCATCCCCATCACCTGTGCTTTCCCAGCAGCATTCCCGCTGCTGCCTTCATCCCCATCCCTCCCGCGTCCTTCTCTCTTCATCCCCATCAGCTCTGCCTCCCCAGCCTTCATCCCCACCCCTCTGCCTCCCCGCCAGGCCCTGCTGGGCCACCCCACTGCCCACGCAGTGGAGATGTTCAGCTGCCCTCAGGTGCCCTCTGGAAGCCCAGGGAGCCGCGGTGCTGAGGGCACATTCCCTCTTTCCTTGCAGCAGCAGCCAGGAGCACACCCCGTGCCCGTCTCTTCCTTGGCAAAAATGAGCGTTTTTTAGCAAAATCTGAATACTTGCAGTAATAGCTCATTGGTGATTCTGCTAATGTTGCACACCTCATTAAATAGCCCCAAACACAAGGAGGTTTAAATGACTTTATTGAATTAAAAATAGCATAGGAAATCACCTATGGTACTTTCATCAAATAATTACTGTAAACTCTATACATACAGCGAGAGATCCTTTTTAACAAATCTATTCCTAAAACACGGGGGGGTTCTGCTTAATGGCTGAAATAACTCAGAGCAGCACAACCCGCTTGAAACATTGAGCCACACTCGGGCACTTCCTAATATGTTCCTGTGTGTTTCCCTGAGTGTTTTTCTTCCTTATCTTTTTTATATCTGAAGTTCTATTCCCCTCCTCTACTCCATGTATTTGATCATTTTTTCAAGTCCCTTGGCTGAACCAATCTCTTTTCATGCAGAGGATAAAAAGAGAAAAACTTCAAAGTAGGTTCAGGTAATTAACAGCTGAGGGGAATATAATCTAAACCATAGGCCCTGCTTTGCACCCAGGTCTGCTTTCAGAGCCAGCCGGCAAGGGAGTGCCTATTCCCTATAGCATCCAAATCTGCTTCCTCTGAACAGCTTTGCCAGGCCTCCAGTTATCACATCTGCATTTCAAACACCATGTCTCTGGCATTAATTATTAATTAGCCTACAGTCACCCCAGAGGATTTAAGTTCCAGCCTGCACATACTTATTCATTGACCTCTATCTTAGTTTTTGTTGGAAAAAAACCCACTAGAATGCTTAATAATTTCCTTTCTCTCAGACCCTCTGTTCCAGTTTCATGGCAGGGAAACAGTATATTTTGAGATGGAAAATCACAGGGTTGTCTAGAAATTTGTTTAGAGCAAAACGCTATGTCAAGAGTTTGAACAAACCATTTCAAAAGATTTAGAAGGAGTTTTGCTGGAGCATTTTTACCTTTGACAAATGAATTTATGGATTTCCCAGAACTGAGAGATGGTGGAGACAAATGCAAGGCAGTTTGGCTCAGCGTGGAGCAGTTCTTCATGTGCACTTTAAAAATACAAACTGGATTTAATTACTGGGTAGCACATTTAGAGGATCAAACCAAGGCAAACGTTTATGTGACAGCTCTGGGGTTACCCTGCTATTGACACTGGTAAGAAGGAAAATAAAAATGCAGTTGCAAGGCACAGGAGTGCTTGGGCTTTAAATCTGAGCTCTGTCCTCAGGAATACGGAGCTGAAGGAGCCTATTTTTGTATCAGTCCCAAGGTAGTCTGGAAGAGGCTCCTCAGCCATTAAATAAGTACATACCTCACTGCTGCTTCCTTTGCCATTTTGTGTCTTGAGATTAAGGTTCCAGAAGTAAAAATATCAGAGCGGTCAGGTACAGACTGAGTTATATTATTCTCTTTTTTCTCAAAACTCTATGAAACCCAAAGTGCCTGTTAAGAGTTTGGACGAGCTGTTTATTGAATCCTCCCTTTTGTTAATGGATTTTAATGCTACAGTATCCCACCCCTCTGATGAGGCCTCGTTTAATTCCTCATGCAATTATTCCTAGATAAACTTCTTAAAATGTTGCTGTGGTTTCCGTTTTTTATTTGTGGTGGTGCTATCTGAAATAATCATTGAAACACGAAATATTTCTCCACTTTGCTTCCTAAGGAAGTGTTTAGTCTGTAATCACGAGGTCAGATTGGTTGACTTCTGTGCCAGCCTAGAATTGATTTTTGAAAGCATTTAATCTGCGCCTAAGACTCTTTGAATTCCTGTTTAGTGGAGGATATGGAAAAGAGCTCTGAGACACAAACATTTCTACTTAAACCGCTGGGCTATCTCGGGAAACAAAAATGTGTTTTTCCAAAATTGCAGCTAAACCAACCCTTTCGGAAAATCATAAACCTGTGCTGAAATGAGCACCTGAAAATAGATGTAGGGGCCTAAACTGTTAACTTCCATGAGGGATCTCTCTCCTCAACCTCCCTGAGAGTTTTGAGGAGTTGGTTTGTTGCTGCTCTTTTATTATTTTCATATTTTATGAGTAGATCTGGGGAGCATTCAGCATTCAGTAATAAATATTTTTTCCTCTGCTTCAAATATTTAGAATATTTCTTAGATTCAATGTAAACAGCAAAAAGTGCCCTCATTTCACAAGGAAAAGAGGAACAGGCAATACATCAAATTATATTTCCAGGAAGATGGTTCCCATTTATAAAACAACAGATTGTATCTTGGTGCTGAAGAGGGAGGTAGATCCAGACTATTTTAATGAGACATCCAGGACCTTTTAATCACTTCTGCAGTGATACTAATACCAGTAATAACAGTGATAATGGAAAGAAAAAAACCCTGGTGTGAAACCAGGGCTGGAATCTGTTCTCGGTAAATGTCAGAATGTTTCTGAAATTAAAACTTAGTGTTAATGTAGCTCTGTTCCATATGAATATTAAAGAGGAATAGGGACTAAATTTCTTCCACAGCAGAGTGAGATGTTGTTTTAGAAAACAGC